AGCAAAGTAGGACCCCCAGCTATGGGTGAAAGAGCATGGAGGAACGGTGAATTGTCCGGCTTGTGGGCCGAAAAGAGGTAAGGCGAACCACAATGCTGACTGTCGCAAGCGATATGACGACTGGTTGAAGGCTCAACGACAAAGATTGGAAAGAGGAGAGCCGACAACCGAAAGTCCAGATATGGGTCCGAGAAGCTCAAAGGATGCGGGGGTGATGGAATCTGGAAGTGAACCTTCACTCCTGAAACGTCCGAAGATCACCCATGAGAGTCAACAAGATCTCCAAGGTGGAGAGAGGCAAAGTGCCCCGACACCTCCGACAGAGGTGGTAGACGTTGATATGGATGAGTTTGAGGATCCCAGTTTGCCGTATGGTGGGATTCCGGATGAGGCAATGGAATCTGGATACTTTGAAGGAGAAGAAACTCCTGATGGGGATGAGGCTGTACCTATGGAAGAGGACAGACCTCAGATGGATGTGGACTCAGTTCCAAATGAGTCCAATCGAGTTCCCCGGCGTTTAGAGAGTTTGACATCAGATGTGAACTCAGCTCCAGATGAGTCCAATCGAGTTCCCCGGCTGATCAACCGAGTTTTTTTAGATCCAAGACTCGATGTGCCTCAAGGTCCTACTAAGACGGTGAGTAGTGATGAGTCCGAAGTTGGTACATGTGACCAATTCGATTCTGCTCAACAAGAATAGCGCCTTCCAGGAGTCCATGAAGTTGTGTGGATCCCAAGTTTGGCTGGCAAGACCCACGAGCGTTCTGTCTGAGATCGATGGATGTCCATGGGATGTGGATAAGACTGTGGAAGGCCGGCGAACTGAGCTGCAGAGCATGACTGCTCATAAAGCTGGGAAGGTGGTTGGAGCAGACGAGGCTCATAAGTTTGCGCGTGAGCATGGAATCAAGATTATCCCAACTCGATGGGCAATCGGTCCAAAGGTGGTGAATGGGAAGGAAGCTGTGCGAGCACGGTGTGTGGTACAAGATATCGCAAAAGGGAGCACTGCATCGTCATTGGGATTGAGTGCTACTGCTACGACTCCCTCTCTTGAAGCGTTGAGGACGCTGTTAGCCATTGCCGCTGTGGATGGCATGGATATTGCGACTTTGGATGTATCCACTGCCTTCTTGCGTTCACCTCTTCCGAAAGGATCGAAAGCGATTATCCAATTGCCAAAAGATGTTTCTTCGTACAAGGACTACTATGTCCCGGCTTATATGATTCTGGATCAGGCCATGAATGGTTTGAGGGTTGCCGCCAAGTGGCAATTGTGGTGAAGAAGGTTGGGTTGAAGCAATGCCCAACGGAACCTTCCGTCTTTGAAGGTACAGTGAGAGGAAAAAGATTCCTCATGTTATGTTATGTGGACGATTTGATTCTCTGTGGAACCAAAGAGGCCATTCGGTTGGTTACCGACACCCTGAACGGTGAGTTAAAGACTTAAAGATCAAGGAGACGGGTCGAATCACTTCCACTGGTGGAAAATCACCTTTCTGGGGCGAGAGATTGAGAGACAAGGAAGTCATCTCAGGATGAGAGTCCCCACCAGGCGTACATGGATGCGTTGCTTGAGACAGGGTTCTGTAAGGACCTGAAGTCTTGCAAACGGACGTTTGCAAGGAACTGCGCAAAGCTAAGGGCCCCAGCTACCAAGCAGCACAGAAAGCTAAACTCCCTACGCCTCCAGGCTGTCCTAGAGGGGGCCGCTACCTACGAGTAGGGTTCCATGCAACGCCAGGCCTTTAGCTACGGACTCCCACCCTTTCTACGGCTTTCCTGGTGGCTTAACCACCTTGAGCAGACGCGGCCTTGAGCCAAAGGGGGTACGGACAACGATCAGCCGATCTTCCACTCTGATCTCCAATTGTGTCTTTTCAAAGTGAGAGTAAACAAGCCAGCGAGCGTAAAAGAAGTCGTGACAACAAAGAAGCAACCGCTAGCGCAGAGGCCCTGATGTTGCAAGACAACTTAACGCAAGGCCAGCAAGGTGAGACCAATGCAAAGGAGGAATGGCGGACTTCTCTGTGCCTGCGGAAAGTGTGGACGGGGTTGTGGTCGTAGTGTGGTGGTGTCGCAGTCGTCGTGTGAAGTCTGGTGGTGGCGTGGCGGTGGTTGTGGTTCGCAGTGCGGCGGTGGTCGTGGTCGCAGTGTGGCGATGGTTGAAGTGGTACAGTGGTGGTAGTCTTGCAGTGTGGCGGTTGCAGTGTGGTGGTTGTGGTGGTGCGTGGTCGTCATGTGTGGTGGCGTAGTGTGGTGGTCGTGGTCGTGGCGGTGGAGCAAGGTGGTGGTCTGGTAGTGTGGTGGTGGTTGCGGCGGGTCGAAGACATCGTGTGGTGGTGGTGGTGAGAGGGTGGTCGGAGTGCTTGAGTGTGGTGGTGGTCGAAGTTGTAGCGCGGTGATGGTCATGGGTTCGAGTGCGGTGGTGGTCGCAGTTCTGAGCGCGGTGGTGGTGTGGTCATAGTTCCGGTGGTCGTTAGTGCGGGTTGGTCCTTTGTGGTGGTGCTGCGACCGCACCACACACAAGGTCAGCCAACACTACTTGAACCCCAAGCTGTCAACCGCAAAGCGGCCGCGTTCAGGACCCACAGAACCCACGGCTCAGTGGGGGTTCAGGGTGTAGGATCCTTTTGAGCCCCCTTCCGTAAACGGGCACAGGAACTTCGTCACCAGACCGCTTGAGTCAGGCCCTCGAATGCTCGTGTGTTTGGCGTAGCTGGGGATGCAGGTTCGCGGACTGAGGATGTCGAGCATTGGGGGTTTGGGGCTTGGTTTCGAAAAGCAGCTTAGAGCACGAGCATTGGAGGTTTGGGGCTTGGTTTCGAAAAGCAGCTTAGAGGAGACGTTTTGTGCTCATCATTTACGTCTGAAGGCTTTATGCCTTGCAACCCTGAACCCTAACCCTAAACATTAAACCCTAAACCGCCGTCATGCTCACCCAAACCTTTCCGGTCTGGGGGTGCTCCGAACAGATTTATGACGAGAGCTAGGGCGGCCAAAATTTCGCTGAGTACAGTAACCTAGATGATACCGAGTATGTGTTAGATAACAAGGGTCTTAGAAGCGGTCACAAGCAAGTACGACAAAGTGGCGAAAAGGCGGAAGGGTGCTGGGTGGAAGGGAGGGTCATTACTGAAGTTCCCTCGCAGCAGTTTTGCAAATGACAGCTGTGGGGTTTGAGCCCGCGCAGCTTGCGCTAGTGGAACTTGAGTCCACCCCCTTAGACCGCTCGGGCAAACTGTCCTTGGAATGAGGCTTCAAGGCTGATCATAAATGTTATTAATTATGTTTCAGAACAAGCGACTCGAGGGAGGCCTCCACAAGCCAGGATTCACTTCGCGCGCTTTCCGCTTATTCCTTCGTTTGCCAGAAATGCCGTCCAAAAAATGTGGCGGGCTTTCGGCTCCCTCCAAGTAAGTCTATCTATCCTTGGCACCAGAAAATAGCGGAGCCTGGTTTCGATCCAGGGACCTTTGGGTTATGGGCCCAACACGCTAACCACTGCGCCACTCCGCTTCTGAATATGAGGATACTCTCATCATCATATCTCGGAAGTCTGTGGGCACTGAAAGTCAAAATGGCGCATTGATTTTGTGTCTGCGGATTTTGGCGTGCTCGCGGTGCTGGAGTTCGCTGCCTCCATGGATGAGGCGAAAAGCACTTGGTTACCAAACACGAGCAGGTCTTTCCGTACGCGCAGATGGACCAGCTCTGACCGTGTAACACCTTGGAATCATGAGGGAGAGAACGTAATGCATTTATAAGGAGTGCGTGAATCATTGAACGCGTGACGCATGAAATGCATGAAGTGAGCGTGTGATTGACATTGGAATAGAGGTTGGAAGTGACTTGAAATACAAACGAACGAAGTAAGTGCGTGATTTCAACGAACAAGTGAACGAAGTATGAAGTGCGTGAAGCAATGAGCGACTTAGCGAACGAAGCGACCAAATTTGCCACCGCAGTAATAATATTATTATCGCACGAATGTATGCTGTAATCACCCGGGCATTTGCTGCCATCTTTATACGCGCCCGGGATATGTTAATAGAAGCATTTTACACCTAAGAGGGGCGCGTGCTCAAGAACGAGGGACGCTGTTGTCTTGCAGTGTAGTGGCGAAGCACGATGAAGATCGCAAGAGCGCTCGCGGGGGGCCCCGACGCTGCAAAAAATCACCTCATCGAGGAGACGCCTATGAAAGTGAAGTGCGCCGCGTGGGACATTCCTTGACCCCTGTGCTGCGTACTCGAAAAATGCTGTCAGTTCGTGTTAGCGTGAAGTTTCTTCATTGAACGCTCCCTCTAGTCAAGTCTGGCAGGTCCGCTTTGCAGAATCTTATGCATTCTGAACCTGCTCTTTCTGTAGCCATGCGCGTGCTCCGACTGTGTGTGTGTGTGTGTGTGTGTGTGCCGCGTGGTGCTAGTGCTGCTGTGCCGCTACTGCTGTTGTGCCGCTAGTGCTGTTGAGTGCTGTTTACAGTGCCGCTGCTTAGGTGCTGCCTACTGGTGAAGTGTGTGCCCTGCGGTGCTACCCTAAGGTGGTGTCGCCTGCTCGTTGTGTTGCGTGGGGCTGGGGGGGAGGGGTTGAGCCACGGGCCTTCTCGGAGGGGGATAGGGCTTAGGGCCTTAGGGGCTTACGGCAGGGCACTTGGCAGGCACTCCTACGGGGGACACAAAGGGGTTCGGCTTGCAGGGCACTCCAGCAAAAATCGGTTACCATGGCAAAAAATCACTGGTTTTTGATCCTCAGTTTAAGTTTTCGCACCACACCGCCGTGCCGCACAGCCGCCGCACCGAGCCGGCAAAAGATCGGCAGCTCCCCCACGCCCACGCCGCCACTGCCGCCGTACCGCCACCGCGGCCGCCCCAGGAATATTACAAACATAAATTTATTTGATTTAAAATTGAAGTGAGTCGCGCACATGTGATTGTCCCGTGTTTCCATTTCGTTTCTGTCAGCTCCTGGTTTTGACCAAGTAGCTGTCGACCGCCATGGCTGAGACGGCTGAGATTGATCAATTGGTGGCAAGGGCCAAGGCGGGCGGCGGCATCGAGCCCTTGGTTGCATTGCTGACGGCTGGATCTGAGAAAACCAAGGAAAATGCTGCACGTGCTTTGAAATCTTTGGCGTACGGCAATGCTGACAACAAGGTGCGCATTGCCAAGGCGGGGGCCATTGAGCCCCTGGTGGCACTGGTACATACCGGATCTGATGAAGCCAAGGATTACGCAAAAGTGGCGCTTTCAAACCTGGCTTTCCAGAATGAGGCCATCGAGAAGGACATCGTGACATCAAGGCAGCCAAGGCAGGAGCCATTGAGCCCTTAGTTGCATTGCTGACGGCTGGATCTGAGAAAGACAAGGAAAATGCAGCATGTGCTTTGAAGTATTTGGCGTACGGCGATGCTGACAACAAGGTGCGCATTGCCAAGGCGGGGGCCATTGAGCCCCTGGTGGCACTGGTACATACCGGATCTGATGAAGCCAAGGATTACGCAAAAGTGGCGCTTTCAAACCTGGCTTTCCAGAATGAGGCCATCGAGAAGGACATCGTGACATCAAGGCAGCCAAGGCAGGAGCCATTGAGCCCTTAGTTGCATTGCTGACGGCTGGATCTGAGAAAGACAAGGAAAATGCAGCATGTGCTTTGAAGTATTTGGCGTACGGCGATGCTGACAACAAGGTGCGCATTGCCAAGGCGGGGGCCATTGAGCCCCTGGTGGCACTGGTACATACCGGATCTGATGAAGCCAAGGGTTATGCAAAAGTGGCGCTTTCAAACCTGGCTTTCCAGAATGAGGCCATCGAGAAGGACATCGAGGCAGCCAAGGCTCGGAGCAGTAAGGCCATCCCTAGAAGCTGCCCGATGGCGTCCGACACACAGCAGGCGCGTGGGCCGTCGACCTAGACCGTCCCCTGACCCTTCATCACCTCCGTCATACATGTTGCACGTTGCATGAGTTTGTTGGTTTTCTACCTTGCCGGGCTATGCTGCTGAGTTGAAACCTGGAGGCCAACAGACCAAGATGGCCGTCAGTGACATCTGAATCATTGCTTGATTGTTTGACTTTCGACGATAAGTCATGGTAGGAAAGACGTCTTGGTCCAAGCATGCTTGCTGGGATCCTGGGATGCAACATGAACAAGTGCGTAATGAATGGATGTAGCATAGATGTACAGTGTCAGGGAATGGTCTTGATTTGTATTATGTCGGTTTTGCAGAGGTCGGTTTTGCAGGGTGCGGGGTCTCTTCATGTGTGGCTACAGTCAGTCTGTGCCAATAAAGGATACAAGACTGTCGCGAGGCAACCCTTCAACCCCCTATGGTTGTCTTGTAGAGCAGTTCATAGCACCACCATGTATAAGCATTGAATTGACGGTGCAAGCATGATCTGATCATTCGTTTCAACCGGCGCGCTTTCACAGGCGAAGCCTGCAGAGCAAGCGCTTACGGTGCCATCAGTGCCTTCGGCGCCATCGGCCTCATCAGTTGCGCTGCCCTCGGGGAAGGGCGCCAGAGTGGCGATGTTCTCGGCCCGCTTCGATGGGGGACAAGCAGCTCGGACTTGTCATCATGCGCGATGTGCCAGGTTGTTCGAGCTGCAAGTAGATGCAGTGCTTCCAGCTCTGAAACACAAACATACCGTACAGCGCATCGATGTGCATAGCCTCAAGATGCGCTTAGAACTTGCCAAACATTTGACCAGAAGAGGGGGGGGGGGGGTGCTGGAAGTAAATGCGCTGTCCACAGCTGGCAAACACCCAAGGCCACACAAAAAGTCGGTTCCAACATGGTCATCATGGATTCACAAAATAGATTAACATACAATGAATCCGACATGATCGGGTTTTGTTGGAAACATCATCAACCTGTCAGCACCCCCAGTGCAGGTTGACTAACGACCATCCTTTCAGGCTTCTTTGGGGTGCAAAAAGGCCTCTATGGAAAGTGCTTCGGAGACTGCATAAGATGCATTTAACAGTCATTGAACCTCATATCTTCCAGCGATGGGATCGCAGGGTTGGATGCATTATGGATCGGATCAGTGTTTTGCAGCCAGCAAATCTCAGGTTGGACACTCGAACGGTTGAGCCAAGAAGGCGACGCACGCACATACTGTAACTGTAACATCTTGACGAAGTGTGCGTGAGTTCATTGCGATGCAATCCGAGAGAGTTCCCAGAAGTTCCTGTCACAGACCTTCAGAAAGTTCAAAGAAACCTTGAACATATTGGACATCAATGTATTCAAGAGAATTGCGGGATAGTGGAAGGAGATGTCCAAGGGCGTGAAGTGCAGCTTTGCAGGGTTCGCCTCAACTGAATGGCATTTGTGACACAAAATCTTCCCATTGGAATGCTCGATTTCCCTGCAGCGCCTGCAAGGCCCCTTTGCTTCGAATGACTGCATGTGATCTGAGGTAGAGAAAACCTTCCGCGAAGTGCACCGAATTCTTCGGGAAAACCGCTATGACGTCATGAAGCTCGCTTGTGAAACGCCCTGCGGGCTTGATTTTTTCCCTTGCGTGGGTGACATGTGACGAACATTTCTTACCCAACAAGGTATTTTCCCTTGTTCTATCCAACAAGTGAGGATGGTTGAAGCGGACAGTGGCGAGAACTTCGGCGACATGACTACCGCATACTTGGGCCGACTGCAGCGTGAGAAGGGCATCATGCTCTCAGTGTGCAGCTAGGCAGTCAGGATAGCAACTGCCGACTTTTTTCAAGTGCAGTTAGTTTCGGAGCCAACCCTTTGCCAAATGTTGTTATTAGTTCGTAGTTTTTGAATGTCTTTGACGTGTTTGATTGGAAAGTGTCTTGTTTTTCTCCTTCGACTGGGAACGCTTAATCATACATGATTTCAGGCCGTCCTAGGTCCTACAGGAATTCTATAGGCCATCACTGCTTTGACCATTCACGGGCATCGAGAACAAATCATTGGGCAGCGGTAGCGAATCCAGCGGCTGAATAAAGAGGTGACCGTAGGCAGATCTGCGGCAGCTTGTCATTTTCCAACTGATTGGTTGAAGATGGTATATACCATATATCATGTCATGGTTCATATATCATATTATCAGTTCAACATGTATAAATTGAAAGGACACAAGTAAGACGAATTTAAGAAACATAAGTATAAGACTTAGGCACCATTTTATTCATTTGGCATGCCCCACTGGGTTTGGGGTTTCGGTTTGCGGTTGTCGTTCCCTCATCATTCAATAATTATTGTTATTCGTTCCTTGCTTCAGGGAAGAAACCTTGCAACAAGTGTGTCAGCAAGGTGCTATATTTAGAAAATTTGGCCGGTATTTTAACGGCGTTGGTAGGCAATCAAGGTCAGGTTTCCGGCTTGCATGGGTACACAATTGAAAGGCAGGTTGGTGCAAGGAATTCGCTGATCTGAGGCACTGAGCACTACGGAGAGAAGACCGCCTCCGCCTACTCCAGCTTCAAAGAGCTGAAATTTGCCTTAGATTACGAGGCCGACATCACGGTTGTGCCGCTGAGGGTGGAAGACATCTATCCACCTAGGCCAGGTGGTGGCCCAAAGCACCAGCACGATCCCGCGTACCTCGCCCAGAGCTATGTAGTTTCAGTGTTTAAACCCAGCCTTGTCTTCGAAGATTGTAGAGGCAAGCCGGCAGCAGAAATTGCTGCTGTCATTGCTAAGCGTTTGCGAAAGGAGACTGTTTCCACAGCATCTCCTTCGGGCAGTGGGTGTCAGGCAGCGCGTTGAAGAAGCAGTGACCAGCAGTGAGCACAGCAATGCACGACCATGGTGAGGTACACACTAGAAATCAAACCTATCCATTGACAATCCAGCTGCTGCTATCTCTTTCAGTGTTTTACGGAGACTAGCACATACTTTGCTCTTTAGTTAGGATAAATTCAATATGCAGCATCATCGGAAGACCAACCAGTCGTTGGAACCAATCTCTCATACCTATTGATCACTTGGGATGTTAGATTGCTGGATGCAGTTGTTTGGTAAGTTGGTGTGCGGTAGTTCCAAGATGCCGCAAGAAGAAGGAGACTGGGAGTCAAGATTTAATTGTAATCATAGTGTAAAGCCACTTGAAAGTGACGGAATTTGAACGATCTTCCAATCAATGAGGTAGTTTATACCTAGAAGTGTTGGGGCCTGACTCCACCCCCTAGTTTCAACCCCCATGATGCAGTAATCATGCAATGGACCGCTTTAGATCCAGCATGATGCTGTTTGAACAGAGACCATGTGGTTCGGTTTGGCCACTGCTTAATGTCTGAACCTCTTAGTTGCGACTCACATTTGGCAGTTCGCCCAAGGCGAGCCAGACTAACTAGAAACGACTTGAAAGGACAGAAACAAAGCAGCCACCAAGGCTTCAAGGCTTATAGCATGCGCAACATGGAACAATACCACACTGTGCCAACACCACCTATTTTTGGATTCAGTTTGGGTCATCGGACTATGATCTTTTTTTAAATGAATCTTGCTCATACAAAATCCTAGCACTGGGAGACTGCATTGATGCTACACCTTGAATGCAGCGAAAGAGGTTTGCGCTAGTGGCAAGGGTTAGGATGGGTAGTACTTCAGTAGTACAGTAGTATTTCAGTAGTACAGTAGTACTGGCATGGCTCCTAAAGCTAGGTTATTCCAATCAAAGACTCTGCTCCTACAACTTGCTGTCCTTTTGAATCCAAAAGCTTTCCCAATGAAGGACTTGGCTTCTAAAGCTTGCTATCCTGTTGAACCCACAGCTTTCCCAATGAAGAGCTTGTAAAGCTTGCTGTCCTTCTGAATCCAAAGCTTTCCCAATGAAGGGCTTGGCTTCTAAAGCTTGCTGTCCTTTTTCTGCCCTCTAAAGTCACCACGACACGTAGTAGATGCAGTTTCTTTCTCTCTCTCTCTGGACAGCTGAAGCGGTCGTAGTAGCGTAGCTGCAGTTTTTCTCTCTTTCTCTCTCTCTCTCTCTTTTTCTCTGCACAGGTGAAGCGGTCGTAGTAGCTGCAGTTTCTTTCTCTCTTTCTCTCTTTCTCTCTTTCTCTCTTTCTCTCTTTCTCTCTTTCTCTCTTTCTCTCTTTCTCTCTTTCTCTCTTTCTCTCTTTCTCTCTTTCTCTCTTTCTCTCTTTCTCTCTTCTCTCTCTTTCTCTCTTCCTCTCTTTCTCTCTTTCTCTCTTTCTCTCTTTCTCTCTTTCTCTCTTTCTCTCTTCTCTCTTCTCTCTTTCTCTCTTTCTCTCTTTCTCTCTTTCTCTCTTTCTCTCTTTCTCTCTTTCTCTCTTTCTCTCTTTCTCTCTTTCTCTCTTTCTCTCTTTCTCTCTTTCTCCTCTCTTTCTCTCTTTCTCCTCTCTTTCTCTCTTTCTCCTCTCTTTCTCTCTTTCTCCTCTCTTTCTCTCTTTCTCCTCTCTTTCTCTCTTTCTCCTCTCTTTCTCTCTTTCTCCTCTCTTTCTCTCTTTCTCTCTTTCTCTCTTTCTCTCTCTCTCTCTCTTTCTCCCTTTCTCTCTTTCTCTCTTTCTCTCTTTCTCTCTTTCTCTCTTTCTCTCTTTCTCTCTTTCTCTCTTTCTCTCTTTATCTCTTTCTCTCTTTCTCTCTTTCTCTCTTTCTCTCTTTCTCTCTTTCTCTCTTTCTCTCTCTCTCTCTCTTTCTTAGGCTCGCAGACTTTTGCAGTAACATCTTTTTTCTGGAGTGCTTTTGCTCCGGGTTTGTTTGTTTTCGTTTGGGCGTGGTTTGGTTCATTGAATCATGGCACCCTAACCCTTTCGGCCCAGAGTTTTTTGATCCCAAGCTGCGCTGAGAGTGCCTTGCGTCCTGAACCCTCGTAGGCACCTTCAGTGGACCCCTGCATGCTTGTATTGAATTTGCTTGAACCCGCGCCGCGGTTCACACAGAAGCGGCCGACATGCGGTACAGTAGCAGGCAGCAGTGGAGTGGTATGCAGCAGTACAGTAGCAAGCAGCCGTACACTTGGCAGACACAGCATTGTCGGTGCAGCATCGTAGGGGCATTCGGACGGTAGCTTCTTTGAAGAAAGTTGCGCAGGGCCCTCAGAGTGTGAGCCCTTTCTTGCTGCGGTAGGAGTGCCCTAAGCCCGAAACCCTAAACCCTAACCGTGAACCCTGAACCCTGAACCCTGAACCCGAAACCCTAAACCCTAAACCCTAAACCCTAAACCCTAAACCCTAAACCCTAAACCTTGAACCTAAACCCTAAACCCTAAACCCTAAACCCTAAACCCTAAACCCTAAACCCTAAAGAGCTGCAGTGCTGAAGGTACCTGGACGCTCCGATCAATTCGACTGGTCTGGGCCTGGGCTTTCTTTTGGATTCTGGGGTTTAGGGTTTAGGGTTTAGGGTTTAGGGTTTAGGGTTTAGGGTTTAGGCGGTTTCTTTGGGGGCAAGCGTGGTAGAAAAGTTGGGGCACCACGGGTGTTGCTGCTCGCGGGCCTCCGGCCAGTTGCTAGGAGGGCTGGTGCCCTGAAGCGCTTCCACACTGGGCTCCCTGAAACTGAAGGCCGGGGATTTTTTGAGCCGCAGCGGCAGTTGAAGTTGCGTTTCCGTAGATATGGACACAGAGAAGGCGGACTCGTGTCCTTGGTTCTTGTTCCGGTGCCATGAGTCACTTCTCTGATGGCTTGTTTTCAGTGAGTTTGTGCCTGCTCGTGCCAGCTAAAACTTTGAAACTCGAAGCCTCCAAGACAGCAATGGCTTCCGTGATCCTGGCTTCTTGTGTGCTGCACGCCGCATGCGCTCGCTGCAGCTTCAACTTGTCAGGCATCCTCCATAATGAGAACGTGGAACGCGCAGCGACAGAGGCACGTTTGGGGAGCTTCTTATCCCCTCCCCCCCAAAATTCAACCCCCCTACCCCCTAATATTAAAACCCCCAATACACTATAGTATAACTACCCTAAACCCTAAACCCTAAACCCTAAACCCTAAACCCTAAACCCTAAACCCTAAACCCTAAACCCTAAACCCTAAACCCTAAACCCTAAACCCTAAACCCTAAACCCTAAACCTAAAACCTAAACCCTAAACCCTAAACCCTAAACCCTAAACCCTAAACCCTAAAAACCCTAAACCCTAAACCCTAAACCCTATAATGGGGGGGGGGGGGGGTGTATTTCAAAAATAGGGGGAGGGGATTTGCTGGTTTGGGCTTGGTACTCGTAGCTCTGCCCGGCTCCTGGAAGGCCAAAGCAGGATTCAGGCGGGCTGTACGTGAAGCCTCGCGGGCTGGAGCATCTTTTAAGGTTTAGGGTTTAGGGTTTAGGGTTTAGGGTTATTGGCGCAGGCCGGGTGGCTGCAAAAGACAGGCGAGGAGATCCGGCAGTTTGGAGTGGATGAGGCGCTGTGCGGTGTCTCTTGCTTGAAGCTTCCAGTCTGCGCTGCTTGCAGGTCCGATATGAGCGGGTGTTGTTGTGCAAAGAGAGCTGGATGATGCCGCAGCCTCGCTGATGCCCTTGCTTACCACCGTTCTTCTGCGCAGGCTTGCTTGCAGATTGACATGGACGTTTCCACTTGATTATCGATGTTCGCTGGTGCAATGGTCTGGTTTGGAAGAGAGATGTAATATACCGGAGGCGCTGCAGCTTGTTGTGAGACATGCCCTCCATGCTCCCAGCACCTGGGCATGCCGGAGCCTCGACCCGTTCTCCTGATCATTCCGAGCTCTGGGCCCTCACTGCACAGTTCCAGAGCTGACAACCACACGCACATGATGAAGGCTTCGGCTCATCACCCTGAGATATGTCATGGAACGACGGTACCAGGCAAAACTCCATTCCAAAGCACTGCACTTCGCTCGCGCAGGCTTCGTTTTCTCGACGCACGTCCGGCCTTGAGCCAAACGGAGGCACTTGAGGGATGATAAAAAACCTCTGTATTGAAAAGTAAAGAGAAGCGCCCCAGATGACCAGATGTGCGTTTTTCTCGATAAAACGATAAGAATAAAAAAAACGATAACGCTCAGATCAGTATCCATGCTCGATAAAACGATAGGAGCTTCCTCACTTGAGTCTGGCAGAAGGCTCGGTAAAAGGCTTGCAGCGTTAAGGCATTTCCCTAGGGCTCCAGGTGCACTCAGGCAATTCCTAGTCATGAGCATCTGTAGCCTGCTGAGAGAGAATTTAGCCGACATGTAAAGCGACACCTTAATGTTCACTTGCAACATCTATGGCGACGAAACCCTGCAAAGCGAGGGGAAAAGCGCCCCCCCCCCCCCCCATAAGGCGTCCAGTACTTTAGACAAGGAGTTTAGACGTACGCCCACATGACTTCCAGTCGATTTGTCGCGTTGCCTGACCGGCCTACCTTAATACGACATGGGTGCTCTGCTTTGTCGCAATGGTCCCAGGAATCTTCACATTGATCTCACCACCAGATATCCATCCCCGTGTGAAACTTCTCGCCATTCTGGCCGGACTTCGGCACGGAGCACGCAAAAGGGTTGATCCCCTTCTTCAGTCCAACGGTAGAAATGTCATTTCGCGAAAAGAAAGCGTTCATGAAACCAGACATTCCTTGTTGCGTCCCGAGTTGCTTCCGGTGCACGAGTACGTCTGTCGGAAGCTCGGGCGCTGTGCACAAGGAGTTTAGACGTACGCCCACATGACTTCCAGTCGATTTGTCGCGTTGCCTGACCGGCCTACCTTAACACGACATGGGTGCTCTGCTTTGCCGCAATGGTCCCAGGAATCTCCACATTGATCTCACCACCAGATATCCATCCCCGTGTGAAACTTCTCGCCATTC